AATAATCTTGGGGGAGACCAAATAGAGCAAACACTTTTAATTTTTAGAGATACAGTGTGGACTTGTTTTAATTTGTCTCATCTGAGAATGGCTATTCGCTACTAGTCAGGCAAGGTTCCACGTATTTTTATGCCAGGCACTGCAGGAAGCAGTTTCATGTATCTAATGTAATTCTCCTCCAGTGCCTCCACAGAACCCACAGAACCTGGTGGCACCTGCACTTTCCTTCCCGGTCCTTCCCTGGGCATGCACCTTCATGCTCCTGGCCACAGTACTCCGTGTGGAGTGCCCTACAGCTCTGCCTCGCAGTGTCCTCTCACCCCCGTAGCCACCGGTTATTTCACCTGGATAGCTCCTGATTCATCCTCCAGGTCTCACATGGGATGCTTTTTCTTGGCAGACATTTTTCTTGGTCATCTAATTCCTTGGGTGCCCTCATGTGTCACTCTGGTGTGTATTTGCTTATCCCATTGGGGAGTCCCTTGAGGGCAGGGACGTGCTCTGTTTGTTGCTGTATCCCCAGCGTCTGGTGCAGGGTGGGCACTCAGCCAGTATGTACTGAAGTTATGAGGGAATGCCTGTTTCATCTGAGCCTCGGAGCAGCTCTGAGAGAGCATGGGACCTCCCCAGGGCCACTGCACTGCAGCTGGTTTCACGTTTAGAGACCAAGTTCCCTAACCCTGCTCTCTTTTCCAGGCATAATGCTTTTACACAAAATCTCTTCTCCTTCTCCTTCCCCTTCCTCTTCCTCTTCCTCTTCTTCTTCTCCTCCTCTCCTTTCTTCTTTCTTCTACCCTTCTTCCTAGGGATTTCATTCCTAACCTTTTCAATGATTGCTGATTGTTATAACTTTCTAATTTTTTCACATGCCATATTTTTGCATTAAAGGCGTTAAATGGAGTACAGGACAAAGCAGACCCATATTTTTGGGTGTCATGAACTTCATCACACTGCATCTTCAGTTCTTTCTAATCAGCACCTCCAAGTCTTTGATGCTGCCTTAACCTCTTCATTCAAGGTCTTCTCTGTGTGAGGTGGAGTATCTCTTAAGGAGTCAACACTCCTTAAGGGTTATGTGCTCACTCTGTTTTACAGAAAGTTTTCTCCAGGAGTGTAATTTGGGAATTGTTTGTGCTCTGCAAAATATGGGGGGAGGCTTTTATTGTCATGAGGGCCAGAAACTTGGCTGGCTTCTCACAGACAGGCCTCCAGGGCTATTCCGTGTCATTCTTCTCCAGGGCCCTTCTGTGTCATTCCTGAGTAAGCCCTCTGGTACCCTAGTTCCCTGCTTCCAGGAACAAATCTTCACTTCCCACAGTTGACCTGTTGTGTTATCTTCTTACCTCCTCTCTTCTGTGATCCAGAGAGGCCGTTTAGTTTTCAGTCCATGTACCCACCCCTCCTGTCTAGTTTCTTCTCAGAGCCATGCTTAATTCCTTCCCATTTACTCATTGATTAAATGAGAAGATTGTGCCAAGTTAAAGTTCAGCATCTTCAAAATGCCTCATGATACAGTCCCTGAGGTTGCCCTTGAATAACTGATGCAATATTCTTTGATCAGTGACCTGTTAGAGTGTCTAGCTGGATCAAATGAAAAGTGTTCTGACTTATTAATTTTTGTGTCTGGGTTGATGTAGGACATTAGTATTATTGCATGAATTTATTCTGGCCAAAGCTAGATGAGTCTTTACCTCTTTGTTTTTTAATTTGTTTTGCCTTAGCCCCAGCAGCTGTGGAGGTAATATTGATATGTCTGTGGATTTCAGGAAAATCCAGTTTTTGTTTCAAACTACACACCCCACAGTTTTCTGGTCCAATTCTTAGGTACTTTATCAGACCCTCATATATTTTCAAAAATAATTGCTAGTGACCTGGATGAAACTGGGCAAGGTATTCCTAGGTTTAAGGTAGTCCAATTTGCAGTGTGCAGCCCTCCTTAGCTTAACAGGGGAATCTTTAACTAGATGCCCCTCTCAGGGTGGCTTCCTGCCTTTCCACCCAGGGGCTGCACACACCCGATGATAAGATCACAGTGGACTTACCTTTAAGGGCCAGCAGTAAAAATAAGTACAGTATTAAAAACATCCCTCTTTTTGTATCATTTATTTAGAGCTTCCTCTCCTTTTCTAATGAAAGACTACTGTTTTGCTTTTGCTATTTTGTTCCTTAACGCTTTCCAGCAATAACCTCATGTGTACCCTGTGATGCCCTGAGCTCATGGGGCAGGGTGACTGGGGTTCAGGGCTTTGCCCAGCCACCAGCTGTGAAATAAGAAGAATAATACTGTTGACCTCATGGAGCTGAAGTGAGAATTAAGTTCTCTAATATGTAAAGGTACTTTGTAATAAACTTTAAATACGTAGATTGAAATGGTGAGTACTAATTGTTGCTAAAAATGCTCAAAATTGCCAAATGCCATGTCTTAGTGATTTTAGCCAGAATATCCAATAAGACTATAAAATTAGTAGATTATTAAATGAACACCTCCCACTCTCTGAATGTTTCCGTTTCTACTTCTCTCATTCCCCTTTTGTGTCTTTATTTCTTTTAATGTCCACATCCTTTCTCCCAACTCTAGTAGCTTTCTGTAACTGGATATAGTAAGTAGCATGTTTTAATTATTAATTATGGTTGCTGTATTATCTTAGGTAAAACTGAGTGTATAGGATGTTTATTTTTCCCTATTTATAAAACAAACAATTTTTTTCACTTATTTTAATTCTTGAGTCTTTGATCTCCAGTGGATCAGCTGTTTTCTGTAGAAAATCTTTTTCCTGCACTGCTTTATGCTTTTGTTGTGGGGTAGTTAGCAGAGCAGAGTTAGGGCTACTAAAGCACTTCAAATTCAGGCGCTTCTTTTCCCTTCTTTTAGAAATGGATTTTATTGACTTCTATGTTCAGTTTATCCCCAGAAAGTTACTGGAAAGTATGTGGTAAAGATCTGAGTGTTCTTAACTACAGAATAACAAAGTGAATTCTCTATTTTGGTGGCTTTTTAAAAAAATAATGGGAAATGTGGGATTATTTATAGTGTGAGGAGGAGAATTTTGAGAATTTGAGGCACCTCACAGTCAGCTTGGCAGTTACAAGCTCTAGGTTTATAACTAGCATTGTTTGTTTAATTTTTTTCCCTTTTAGAAATCTGCCCGGGGTGGGGTGGGGAGGGCATAACTCAGTGATTAGAGCACATGCTTACCGTGCATGAGGTCCTAGGTTCAATCCCCAGTACCTCCAATAAAAATAAGCAAATAAATAAACCTAATTACGTCCCCCTAACCAAAAAAGAAAAAACTAAAAAGAGAAATCTGCCTCCTCCTACTGACTGTTATGACTGAAATGACAAATCACAGTTTTGGTTTTTTTAAATAACCAAGCAGAACCACCTCAGCTCAGCTGTACCTCCTCTTGCCTCATGGCCCTGGGAGGACCACTCCTTCTCTGCCTTTCCCTACCTCTCTGAAAGAGTCCACGTAACCGAGTTGTGACTGTTGACTGAGCACGTTGTGTTAGTCCAGACTCTGGTGTTTCCAAATGACAGACCAGCAGGCACATCAAACCAGTTCATTTGAAGTGGGTGCGGGGGAGGAGGATTTATTGAGAGCATGCCCGGTAGCCAGGAAGGATGGAATCCGCGCACCCTTCCACATCTGTGCCTTTGCAAAGAGTCCAGAGCCCAAGCTCCTTCCCTTCTCAACCTGTGCACCCACCTGGAAAGGCTGTGCTCTTTCCTCCGAGACTCAGAGCGGGCCCTGTGTCTCCACGCACATCAGCCTCCTTTCCTCCTCCTGCCCACTTTGGCCTGGGTGACTCCTGCTTACTCTTCCGGACATCTCCTGACTCTCAGCCCGAGGTGCAGACCTTTTACGTGTTTTCATAAAATCCTACACAGGACCTGGCTACGTCTGGTGATCGCTTGTTTGCTTGTCTGTTTCCCAACTGGACTTTGGCCTTCTAGAGAATGGGAACTGTGTCTGATTCATGCTTCCATTCTTTGTTCACGGCCTCATTCATAAACAGAGAGAAGCATTTGTTGAATGAGTGAGCATGGGATCTCCACTCACGTTGGTGACTTTGCTTTCTGGGCTGAGCTCAGGACAAATGCCAAAGCCTTTCCCCTAATGACATAAAAATCCTACTTCTAATGTCCTTCATCTTAAAATTGGACTGGATGTGATCCCCTTCCACAAACAAACTCAGTAAAGAAATGTGAAAATGTGGGCAAAAAGCCCTTTAGGTCAGTTGTTTTGGTAATAGTCAAAGTTTTATGCAATATGTACATATAAATAGTGACTTAAAATATACTTATAAAATGTATAAGTGACCCTTACTTAGTGTACAACCAGATCAGCTGTATAGTTGATGTGAACCGAGTGGCAGGAACTGATCAGGAAGGTGCCTGCTGGTACACATTCATTTTTAGTGGTTTGTTTTTCATGTTTTCTTCATTGAATCCAATTATTTTGACGAGCAGTCTAACGACCTTGTAAGTAAGCTGAAAAAACCTTTATACTAGTATTTGCTAACTTTTGTCAACTTGTCCTTTCTTTTTTTGGAGTAACTATAGCACTAGAATCTTTAATAAGTGTTTACCGTGGCTACTTTTCGTCTGTTCTGAGGTTGAAATACTGCTTGTTGGCTCCTCGAGGACTCTGATGTGTGGGTCCTACAAAGCATACAGGAGCATCTTGACTGACAGCTTTGACTGGACTCCTTAGTGACTATGAGTCCTTGGAAGTCACTCACAATAGTTTTGGGGGGCAGAAATGAAAAAGCTGGTCTTCCTTCTTGTATGTAGTTGTTTTCTTTGGGATGAATAACTTAAACCTAGTATTCCGAGCCTGTGTAATGCTGAACCATCTTAATGGCACTTGGCTATGATTCTAATAATTCTTGTCACCAGAAACAAATGATTGCACCAGAAAGAAAAATGAGAATTGGTTTTACTGATAACATATTCATGCATTCCCTGTTCTTCTCCCTTCTTCTTTTTTTCCTTTCAGTGAGCATGTTTTTGAACACGTTAACACCGAAGTTCTACGTGGCCCTGACAGGCACTTCCTCACTAATATCAGGGCTTATTTTGGTAAGTGGTGGAATCCTTCCTATTGAAAAATATGCTGATTACTAATGTATATGTTATGTATGTACAGGAGAAAAGCTGGAAGAGTACGTGCCAGCAGCTGGCAATGATTGTACATGTGTATGTTGGGCGGGGGGATGGACAGAGGCCTTTCACTCTCCAGGTCACCTTATTTCTAAAATATTTGAAAAAAAATTTTAAACAGTCATATATTACTTCTGTTGAAGGGAAAAACAACATGTAAACAAAATGGGAAATAAAGGAAGACATAATTCTGTGTCAAATTCTGATGTCTAAGATACTGTAAAATGAGTGACTCAGTTTAAACTAAACTTTTTTCATTACCCTTCAAAGTGGATTTTTGGGCATAATCTAGATCAGTAGAAGTATAGCTCAGTTTATTTAAATGTATTGACATGGATGTGGAATTCTCAGTTTTCCCTTTCATCTTCTTTGCTTTTAAAATGTACATTTATTTCCCTATTGCTTCCTTAAAAAAATCCTGACTAGGCAATAAGCAATAAAGATAATGGTCTCTCAGGCTCCATTACCTTACGCTCTAACGTAGTTATCGGTGTGACGTTGTAACACCTGAAGTAGTTGTCATTAATTTAAGTGACCTTAAAAGGGACCATCTAAACTTGTAGAATCATTCTAATATGGTTAAATTTATATTGAAGTCCTTTAAGGAGAAAGAGGTTTTAGAACGCTTTTTTTCCTCTACCGACAATGCTGTGATTAGTAATTATTATAGAGAGAGGGACAAGAAAAGATTTCTGTCAAGATTTCCAAGTTGAGAATGATAAGTAGAAAAACGAAATTTTTAGAGAAGAAAGGCACAAAAATGTGGAACAAGAGCATAGATGAACCTAGAACAGTGGAGGATTTCATAAGCCTGAACCTGTAAGGAGCCAGAGTGAAAAGGTGGAGAAATGTCTGAGGGCAGAAACCTGCAAACAGCTGAAAGGATGGTGGTGGTGTGAGAGCATTGTTTTGTGGTCGGAGCCTATTCAGGTTAGTCTTGCTCTGCTTTAACGTGGGGCCTGCTGGACTTGAGGGCGGAGACATTTAAAGTTCATATTGTTGGACCAGGAGTATGAAGGACATCAGTGAGAGTCACTCCACGATGGTTATGGAATTGCTGACTGACTGCAGAGATCAGTCCATTCTGGAAATGGAAAGCCCAATACTGGCTGCAGAGATCAAGCCAAGGAGAGGGGGAGCGTGTTAGGGCTCCTGCTTCAAATGGGCTGAAATAAGGCATGGTAGTACTTTGTACCATACTGCCTGTTAAATGCAGATCTGCACACCCGTCTGTGTCTCTGAAGTGCTCCCTGTTCTGTGGGGACATGAGAAAAGTCAGGACGCTGTAGACAGTTGTTCATAAAGCTATAAGATGATTTGCCTAACTAAGCTCATGTTGTTAGTTTGTGGCAAAGCCAGTTTTCAGACCTATGTCTTTGGGTTCCCATCTTAATATTCTTAATGGACTAAAGAAACTTCAAATGTGGAACATGCTTTCACATGCTTCACAAATTATTCATAAGTATGTGCTGAAAGCATTTCAGCATCAATATATTTTAGGGGCAGGTGGAGGTATTACAAGTCTCCATCCAATAATTATCATTTATATTTAAAATAACATTTGAATATTTTCTAACACATCTTTGAAATATTTTTTGATTAAATAGAGAAAAAATGAACTTTTTTAGATACAGCTTGCATAGCAATTGCAATAATTCACTCTGGAGCGGAAAGGTGGGTTTTTGTTTGTGCCTTCCTGTCTCAGGAATGTTCTCCTAAGAATGTTACCTACCTCCATGATGATTACTGTGCTGGGCACTCATCTAAGCACTTTACATGCTAACTCATTTACTCTTCACAACAACACAATCAGGTAATTGCTAGTTGTTCCCCTTGTGCTGGTACCTAAGCTGGACAGGCAGTAACAGAGCTGGCGAACGACGGAGCAGGATTGCAGCCCACACTGTCTTGCACCAGAGCCTGTGCTTTTATCCCTCATTTCATTGCCTCTCTGATGAAGTTCTAGGTTGCTGAGCAAATGGCAGGTCTGGATTTTGTTCTAGTAGTATCTTGGTATGGGTTCACTAGGCTATAAACTAATTACCAGAATGCGGGTCATTTCCTGTCACTCTGGTAAGCGAGACCCAACAGTTGCTTTCCCTTCTCACCCAGGGATGGTGAAGTCCCATCAGCTTGCTTCGCTGGTCCTCCAAATAAAGGGGTTTCCCTAGACTGTGCTCACCGTTGCAGATCCAGGCTGGTGAGGCCTTCTCCTTGCATGTGGAGTGCAGCTGCTGAAGCCTGGTGGTCATGGCTGTGCTATTTTATGATATATTTGCCTTGCAGCATTCTAGGAAGCAGAAGATACTCCTGACTGATGTAGAACTTTGAGCAAAGGAAAAGCTCTGATGCGTGAAGATTTTGAAAGGCCTTCTCAAAAATGCTTCACCTGTGCTGAGGGCAAAGCCACTGCAATGTGAGAATAGCTCTTGATAGCTTTAGGCTCCTGCTTTAGAGATGGTTGACACTGGTGTTATCCAGCCTTTGAGAGGTCTCGTGTGTTATACAGACATGTTTAATAGATATAGAAAAAGGCATCCAGAGCATAATTTTTAAAAGTGAGAATCAAGAATAAAAACAGAAAATTAAGAGAGAGTAATAAAAGAATTAATTCATGGTGTAAAAGAATTATATTTTCAGGAAAGTGGTAGAAGAGATGACAATTAGGTAGGAATGAGTTGTAACTAAAAGCCCTTTTATTGTGTTTTCCGCTATGTGCCAGATACTCTTTTAAACACCTTGCATATATTATTTCATTTAATTGTAAGTGAATTCTAATTCTAATTTCATTGAAATTCTAAGTGGTTGATATAATCAGTGCCTTTATGCTGCTGAGTATAAATAGACACACAATTTAAGTACTTTGGCCAAAGTTATAGACCAGATAGATGGTGATACTTGGATTTGGATCTGTCTGGCCATGCCCTCCATCCCCTCCTATTCAAAAGTAAGGGAATGGGATTAGATGATTGTTATGGCTCCTTTGAACTCTTTAGCATTCTATATCTAAAGAACTTGGCCTGCATTTGACCTGAAAATCATGCCCTCCAGCCCTGCATCAAAAGTCATCCAGTTTGCTAGTAAAGACCTAAGGAATAGACACCTAGAAAGCTTATGACTTGCCTATGTCGCCTTGTTAGATAAAGGTTTAGTGAAGACTAGAATTTAAATTTCCACTGCTTTGTCTCAGGATTATTCTGCTTCTTATAAACTTGTTGACTAGGAAGATGGGGAGTAGCAGTGTTCAGTGGTTGATGTTTTCCTTTTAACAGACTCACAGAAATGAGTCAGGTAGATAAGGAAGCGTAGAGGAGAGAAGGAAAAGAAAAAGAAAAGAAAGAAAAAGAGAAAAGAAAGGGGGAGGGAGGGAGACCACAAACGTCTCTGGAGGAAACATTTTTTCTTTTTCCAATCAGCCACTGATTAGGTCAGATTTGGCCAATCCAGAACACGGGCCAACACTTGCCACAGTTTGTAATTTAATTTGTGACATTAGTGGTCTTATCCTCTCTGTAGTGGAAACTTCACAAAGGCTGGGGATGTGTCTGTGTTTTTGTGTACAACTGTATAATGCCTAGGTGACTGCTTAAGAAATATTTGTTGAATGAACGTAGATCCAGTGAGTGAATAAATTAATGGACTGTGTCAGAATTGTCTGGGGAGCTTGCTTAAAATGATGGATTCTGTGCAACACCTCAGACCAGCTGAATCAGAATCTCTAGGGGCAGGACCTAGAGGAAAGCTGCCCCCCTGGATGAGCCGACAGAGCCACAGTCATGAATGCTACAGTGGAAAATCTCATCCTGCGGACATGCAGACACTGAGGTGGGGATGGATCACTGGCTGTTGACCTTGAAGAGAACCTCACTTCTATATCTTCTTTCTTTTCTTAAAGCCTTGGCAATAGGTAGCCAGGAAAGGGCGTGGAAGAGCATGAAGACGAGTTCTTTACACAGCTGCCTCAGTTGGTTAGGCCAACAGGTGGCTGAGGGGTCATTGGCTGAGACCAAGGAGGCAGGAGGCTGAGACCCACTCTGTAGCTCTTCAGAATTCCTAAGCTGAACAGACAGGACCCAGGAATAAAAGAAAATTCTGTCATGAGAAATTGGGAGGGACTTTGAAAGGGTCAATGGTATGGAGAAAAGGATATACTTGAGGATTCTAACAGGAAACTAAAAAGGTTATGGATATTATGGTAACCCATGCCAACTGCCTTGGTTTATCTCCTTTAAACCCAGAAGATCCTCTCTTGCCAAAAAAACATTTACCACCAGATATATTTCTGAAGACTTAAAGCAGGTGTCAGTTTGGCAGTCTCTCTGTTTGGGAGTAGACTGCCAGTTTCATATTTCCTCTTCAGTCTCCACCATTGCTGTGTCTTTCCTGTGATATCATCATCTATTTAATCCTTAGGAAACACTTAGCCAGTTTCAGGCTGTGACATCTTTGTGTTTCCCATAGATTTAGTGGGAGGAATTGTTGTGGAATTTCAATGTTGCTGCTATGTGGAAATCTTGAAGCATCTTTGAGTATGATTTAGGGCATAGGAAATTCCCTGAATTGTGAAGAGAAGTATTTTATATATAGAACATGCAATTCAAGAAGAGGAGATCTTATTAGATAGGAAGAATCTAGGCATCTTTAGGAGAGATTCAGCTTTTAGGTCTGCGAGATAGATGGAAGGGCCTTATTTGTTAAGCCTTTGCCAGATGTTTCTTCCTTTCCTGAGGGTGAAGATGAGACAAGATTGCACCTTAGGCCAGCTGCAGACTTGGATCTCTACCCCAGCCCCCAGCCCCAGTGCTCCTTGATCATTCCCTCTGCTACTGTCATGTAGTAATGGTTACAGGGCATAAGTAACTGGGTTTTTGACAAATGGATCTTTGTTTTAAATGTGATCTGGGTCCCGAGTATAGTGATACGGCCTTTCTGTCCTGCAAGGTATAGATCCAAACCACTTCTTCAACCCCCACATTCTCAGTTCCATTCCCATTTCCTTTATTGTCAGATGACAACCCTTACCTGCATCTCCAGTGAGATCAGTGTTACCTACTTTTTATCTTTTTGTTGCCTTCTTCTCTGTGAAACAGCTCATGTCACACCCTATTTTCCAAAATAGAGTGTATTCTTCTATTGGAATGAATGGAATAGAAAAATTCCATCTATTTAAAGGAAGCATTCGAATGCTTCCTTTTTATTCTGTCTGAGCAGGAAGGGGAAGCTCCTTCACAAGGCAGGTACACGTTCTTTCTGGGCTCTTGGTGTCATTCCTCTTGGTCATTTGTACTCTTCTGCGTCTTCAGTTTCTCCCTTTCCACTAGATTCTTTCCTCTTCCACAAATATGTGTAGGCCTCTCTTTTTTATAACAAACGAAATGAACACTAATCTTTCATTGGTCCTGCTGTTTATTTAGACAATATCCCATTAAGTCACCAGGCCAGCCCGTATCATCCATCCATTCAGCCTTTCAACCATACATCCACCCGGTTTTCAAACCATCCATCCATCTATCCATCTAACATTAACTGAATGACCTTATTCCACACATTGGATAACTGAGCCCCAGGGAATCAAGGTACCAACCAAGGCACACAGCTCGGCTATCGTGAGATGTATTAGGGTTTTTATCTTTCAGCTAGGTGACAGGGCCACCATTGACTTCCTAAATGACAAACCTAATTGGTACTTTATAATCTGACTTGATCTGTATAATTCTTGGAGTAGAGAGATTATGTTTTTAGAGACTATGAAATTTGTAAACTTATATTTTAATTTTAGGTTATTAGTCAGATTAAGAACTGTTTTGTTCCACTGTGGCAACACTGCTAAGCTCCTAGCATGTCCAAGGACTAAATTTAAAATCTAAATTTGTTTATGAGAGCTTTGCTGTTTACACTGTAGGTTATGCACCAGAGAGAATAATTCAAAGTGACACCAAATATGTGGGTGTTCAGTAACACCATCTGCCCACCGGATCTGTGCAGCTCTGTAAAAGTACTGTGAAGCGCTGGCCGAAAGCCTGTCATCTTTCAGGATATGGGGTGGGTTGTTATGCTGAGACCCTAGATTAGAAGACTTGGTCTGAAGTTTAAGAAGGCTTCGAGTCCTTTCCTACCTCCTTTTGCTAGTTGCTCCTTTAACTCATACTGGAGTACCTGCCCCAGGGTATTGGGGATACTAGTATCAAGGACTGTGTTGGGTAAGAAACCGTCTACTGCTGTGATAGGACAGGCTGGAGAAGTCCCTACTTTGCCTCCCAAACAGCTACATGAATAACCCTGTCTTTATTGAGGTCTATTATTTCTGCACTAGAAATACTGGGTGGAAGGTCTCTCTCTCTCTGTTACAATGCAAATACCTTGTTAATATGGGTCACTTATGTCTTAGCATGAATTATCCAGTCCCATTTGATAGAATACTTCTGGATTGGTTTTGATAGCTAAGAAAGCAAAGAGAGACTAGAGTTGGAGGGCATTCGGAAGTGAAGATGTGAGAAGGGAAATGACAGGCTGCATCTGTCTGTATTTGTTTGTATGAGCAAGAGAGTTATAAAAAGATGTTTTATTTTAGGGCCCTAGGAAGATTAGTGGCATGTAGCTGGGGCTTTGGGCTAAATAGCTACTTAATTAGCTGTTTGCTTTTGGTCAGGTCGCCGCCCCTTGATGTATAGGCCCCATTCCTCATCTATAAATGAAACTGTTTGTGGTCATTTAGGGTCCCTTTTAGTGCTGACATTCTCTGATTCTGCTAGAGGAACTGAGAAATCTGGAAGAGGCCCAAAGTTTTTTTTTTGTGATGGGTGTTGTCTGGGCCAGGAGCAACCTGTGGGAGGCACGTGGGTCTGTGGCATGTACTGGTCATGGCAGGAGCCACATCTGTGCTCTGTAGCCCTGGAGTGCAGCCCATGGTGCTGTAGCATTTAGTGCTGCGTGACCGAATGGATGAAGGCCTATCAGGTGCCCAAGCAGCATAATATAGAAAGCAGCTCTCGCCCACAAGAGATAGAAAGCGATTGCCAGTTCTGTGACCATTGTTCTGGGTCCTTTGGAGCCTTCCTTCTTTTCTAATAAAGGCAAAGCCATGAATCTCGAGTGCCTTTTAGGGTGGTCAGGACCAAATTGATGAGCAGTACACCTTTTCCACAATGATTTCCAGAGCTTTCAGCCAGCCACTTAGTGAAAGACAAGATGCTAAGCACAGCCTTAACTGCAGACTGGCAGGAAGAGGGGTGCGGCAAAGCAGTACGTGAGGCGGGGAGGTGTGCTGCCAAGGAGCAGCATGTACAGCATCAGTGTGAGAAATGATAGCTTTGCTGTTACTTCTGAGAAACTACTATGCAACAGGCAGTGAATTAGATGTGGGGTTTGCATTTAGGTGTTTTATATGAGTATGAATTTGAGGACCCTCAAGGATAAATAACAAATATATTTTCTGCTTTACATTTGTAAAATCTGATGTTCAAATAGATTAAATAACTCACCTGAGGTTACAAACTCCCTTCTGGATCCAGTTCATAAATTTACCATTCTTGAACTTTCTTCCTTCTTCAAGCAAGATCTCTTGGTCTTAGCATTCCAGACGTTGGAGACTAGTCCTATCCCTTCTTAGATGTCGTATCTTATTCTCTGTCTGCCCAGTGAAACTGCTTAAATATCTTAACATGTTAAAATTCATATAGTCAAAAGGGGTAACTCCTGAAATTAAATAAAGTTGTCCTATTATAGGATTGTAAACATTTGGTTTGATTGATAGTTTCTCCTGATCATTTGTAGATGTCCTTTCTGTCTTTTAAAGAAATTTTTGGTGGAGCAAAGATAGAAATATCAATATTTAAATGATAACCCAAAGCCCATTCCACAGAAGATAATGAAATCTGGTTTTTATGAAATAAGTAAGGATAAAGGTAATTGATTCTATGTTAGTTCTACATTCTATATTATATTATCAAAATATAGTTATCCTAGGAGACTCTGGAATATATATGTGATTCTTAAATTTCTCCTGTGTAGTGATTTGGTGACTGCTTAAGGAACAAATCCCAAATCAGACAGGGAGGAGAGGAAAGGATGTGGGAAGAGCAGCTTCAAACAGTGGTGGGGAAGCATTCACTGGGCTTGGTAGGGAGCGGGGACAGGGGACCAGGGGCTAGGTAAGAAGGGTTACGGGAGGGCATTTGTTTTCACAGTGCTTAGGAGTCCTGATTTTAGTCTCATCATATGAACATCACTGCTTCTTTCCTTTTATTAATGAAAGTTATTTCTTTTCTCCTTTTCAAACAGTACATAACAATTGGTAAGCTTGTGAGCTAGGAGACATTAATGATGTACAACAGACACTAGTGTTTATAAAGCACACCTCAGCAGGAGGGACAGTACTGAGTTTCCCAGTAGGCAGGTGCCATCGATACATGAAATGGCATGACTTACACTCTTTCTGTTTTTCTAAGGAGATGCTTTTTTTTTTTAATGGAATTTGTTATTTAAAAAATTTTAGGCTTTATCAGAATATAAAATACCAAGAATTGGAATATTTCATAAGCCATACTTCTAAAACTGGCTTGTTTATATTCATCTCTCAAATTATCTTTCAGCTACAGTGATTTTATTATCAGAATATTATGTTAATCTGGAGGAAAATAATAATGAACAGTTGTTAAATGTTCTTTTACCATGATTGTAGTTATAGATTTTTTTTGTGAAAACCAGTATTAAGTGGACAAAACATTCAGAATTTAAAATGTAAGTGGTATTTAACTTTATTAAACTTCTTAATTTTTAGAATAAATTAAAGAATTGTTTGGAATAAAAATGTTTAAATCAGTATTTAAGGTGAATATAATTAGTAAATGCAACATATTTTATGGGCATGCACAAAATCATAAAATCATAACTGGTAACAAGGACTATAATCATGCTTATTATTTTTCTATTCTAGATATTTGAATGGTGGTACTTTCGCAAGTATGGAACATCATTCATTGAACAAGTCTCCGTAAGCCACTTGCGCCCCCTTCTGGGAGGGGTTGACAACAACTCCTCCAACAATTCTAACTCGAGTAATGGGGACTCAGATTCCAACAGGCAAAGCGTCTCAGGTATGGGAAGTCGTTCAGTTTGCAGCATTATTTACTTACTCTTACTAAATTATTATAAGATAGTAATAATATTATTATTTAAAGATTAGACTTCAAAGAAAAATGCAACGTATTTTCCCAAGGAGCTGACAACTTCTACCAGAGAAGCAGCGTATAAGCATCCCAGCGAAAGGGAATGTTCATTTTGTTAAATTTTACTTTTTCTTCCATTTGACTTATTTAGGTCAGTGTTCCCAACTTGAGTCTCCAGCCTCTTTGTCCTTAGTTTCTCAAACCTTGTTAAATGTATCCATTTTCTTCCATGCTAATGACAGAATCTTATGTCTAACTAGATCTGATCACATAACTCCTCTGCTTAGAATGCTTCATTGGTTCCCATGCCACTGACGATAAAGCCCAGATTCCAGATTCCAGATTCCAGATTCCATAGCACAGCATAAGATACTTCAAATCTATCTTGCCAGCTTTAGATTCTGTCACAATCTCATCCCCCTCCTCTTCGTTTCTTGAACAAGCCATGTTTTTTCATGACCCTCTGCCCAGAAGTCTGTCTTCCTTTCTCCATGCTTGCTTACGTTTCACAGCCCAATTCAAATGTTACCTCTTGGGAGGCCCTCTCTGGTAAGCTGTATAATCTCTCTCCACCTTCGCCGACTCATATTTTTATCTTAGCAACATTTATTAAATTGTACTGTAATTTTTAAACATACTGCTTTATTTCCATATTGTTAGCATTTTGCATACTGTCTACTAGATCATTGAAACTCAGTGAATGAACGAATGAGGGCATGCAAGGCCTGTAATTTCTCCACTCATAAAAGAAGAGGGACAGATACAATTTTCTGGCTTGGTCTCCTCATCAGCTCAGTAAACATTTCCTAAGTCCCTAATATAAACCTGGCCTTGTACAGGTTCTCATGAATATTGTGATTTCAAAAACTGTCAAAGTTCTTGTCCCCATTGAACTCTTGTGTCTGTTGAAGGAGACAAGGTGTTAAGTGCTTTGATTATCTGAGGAAGCGTGCAATGCTATGAGGTACAAAGGAGAGACTCCTGATCCAAATTGGTGGACGAAGTTTGCTTCTTGAAAGAAAGGGCATTAGTTCTAAGACTTGAAAGATGAAGAGGAAGAAAGTAAAGAGATAGGTTAGATCTTTTTTCTTTCCTTCCTAGAATGACTCAGTTCATATTTCATAACTGTGTAGCCAGGTGATCGACGTCAAGGAGCATTGTGTATATATTTTATTCCTGATGTTGAGTCAATGCTCTTCCAATGGACCCCTCACCAAGCCAGCCATGAGTGGTAATGGGCATCTCTGTGTACACGTTTATTTCATTCTGAAGGGTACACATGTGAGAGATGGCACCCCTCAGGTGACAAAATTGTTTGGGAGTTTATAAATGTATCCACTTTGTGAAAGAAACAGAAAGAGACCTGAGCAAAGTGAAACATTACTTTAACCACCTACTCCAATATGTGTGGCATATTATTCCAATGAGGAGACTTGATCATTCAGTCACCATCACATAACCTGCTGTGGATAATTGCCATCACGCTGTCACTTTGCATCTGCTGTGAAGATCCCACAAATTAAATGTGCTCTTGTCTGATCTGAGTTACTATAGTCTTTGGATGCATGGAATATTGTAGAAAATTAACAGGTTGAAAAGATAGCAGCCTCGTTTAAGGCCATTTTTTTTTATTGTACGTACATTTTAATTTTCATTACAATTCTCTCTCTACACAATTTAAATCTCTTGACATCATTCCTTAATGCAATGAAGGGTTCATACTCTCTTTACCATCACTGTTGTCTTATAGTCTCTGTCTGTGGATGCCTTAAATAAGCATTATGCTATGCATAAATCTTGATGCTATTCTTAGTGCTTTTACAGCAGTTTTTAAAAGGAGAATTGAAGTCCTTTATAAAATACATTCAACAATAATGCTCATGGAAATTCCCAGTTTTATTTGTACTGAGTTTTTACCTTGCTAAGACTGAGCTTTTGAATAGTATTACTAATTCAATTCCACTAGTATTCGTTGAATGTCTGCTACTCTGCATGCAATATTTTTATTCATTTCTTATAACAGATACAGAATTTATGATCTGGTCTCATAACAATGTTCAAATAGTTAGATTTAGGGAAATGGAAATTACCTTGTCCAGGATTATTTAGGGCTCAATCTGCCCACTTCTCCTTGACATTTGGGTTTCTAATATTTGACTAACTCAGCTCAACAAACCTGTATGTTGGTCTGGAGGTGCCAGATACCATGAGACTAATACCATTTCCCACTTCTCTTTTCTTGAGGTGACTTTTATTTTTGAATAAGAAAAATATCAGAAAAGTATGTTGTCTCTGTTTATCTCTGCCCTTAATCACTTTCTATTTCATAGTCTGTTTCAGCTAACTATAAAGCAAAAAGAAGGTCCAAAGCTGAGCATAATCAATATATATTCTTAAAGCAGAGGAATTCGTTAAAAAATTTCTGTTGCCTTAAAAATAATAAAATGGCTATTGCCTTAATAACAGAAGCATCATAAAACAAAACTTTGCTGAGTCTTACCTGAAATAAAACACAGCTAACCAAGTCCCATGGACATTGGCAAAGGCAGTTAAATGGCATTGCTTTTTTGACAAAATCATTGCAAAAGCTGAAAACAAACAGAAAATACTAGTTATAAATATTGGACTGTATGAGAACTCATAGTGTAGCTGTTTCCTTAAAGAATCATTTGTTTTGATTAAACTGAAAGATCTGACCTATCTAAGAATAATTTGGGGTGGGAAAATGGGGAGTGAGAAAGTTGTCATTGTTACAGGGCTGATTCATACATTGTTTAACGTTTGGATCTGTGCATATTGGCCTGAGAGCAGACCCTCTCAAGGTTTGCTGTGCTCTGTCAGAGGAGAAAGGTAGTTAATTATACAGCTTCTCAATGTAGCAAATTTCAGATTGTTTGGCTTAGGTTAATACTTACGAACGTTTCCCTTGTCTTGCCTTATTTGGGAGCTATTTTGCTGTTTTTCTTCCAAATACAGTTTCTGATAAACCCTGCTGATATATTTTCCATGTCACCATGTTTGTTGCTGCCATTTCTTAATTCAGCTTAACTTATGAACTGATGATATGCATAGAGACTTAAAATGTACCCAGCTCCTCCCTGTCTTAAAGGGATTCTCAGGGTCCAGTCATATTCTGACTTTGGGTTCATGGGAATATCTGTTTGTTAATTTGCCTTATTGTCAAATTAGATGCCATAAAAACAAAGGTTTGTAGTGTTCACCTTCTTCAAGATATTTAGAAACATACAGGGTGCTCCATCACATGAGAAGTATCCTTGCCAAAGTCAAATTTAAATTCTCTAGACAATTTAATAGCCTCTTGCATAGAACTGGATCTTTAGACAAACTCTGATTACAGTCACTTGGCTTCCAGTCACAAATCATCTCATTTTAATCTCATTATTAATCTAATCCATATAAGATAAATAAATGTCATAGATACATTTTATATATAAAAATTTTAATAAGAATTTCACCAAGAATTCTAAATTAAGTTTCATTTCATCATTAGAGGCAGCTTAAGCACTGATTAAATATAGGTTAAGAAATTAAAGAAAAGCAATGGAGATGAAGAAACTCAGGTAGATTATAAAGATATATCCTAAGACCTCCACAGGGAGATATGGTGGAGGGTTCAGCTACGCCAACTTACTAGCTCAGTGACTCGGTTTTATACCCTGGCCTTTCAGTGCTTGCATTTCAGACATATCCATCAGCAAAACTGCAAATTGCTACACGTCCAGGACCTTTGGAGTTGCTAATAGTCTCAATTAGGGGAAACTCAATTTACTTGCCAAAATCTATGTATATGTTGAAAATGATTCTCATAGTAAATGATTATTACATCTTTAAAAATCTTTTGCCAATAAAATTTATGTTCTAGTATAGATTAGATTTCTAGTTGAATGGTGACCTAAAACAGTTTTGGTCTTTGGTGAACATTTATTTAACAAACTTTTAAAAAAATTTTCACATTATTTGGCAGAGTTGATTGACTTAGGTCAGAAATAATCAATGGGAAATGTATGAGAGATGCAAAGAGTTAGCCATCATTAGCAATATTCTTTAAGAAAGTAGTACACTATCTTGAATAAAGTAGATCGATTAAAAAATGGTCTTAAAATTCTTAACTACTTATACCTTTTCTCATTCCATTAAAGAATTTGAGAGAGTTATATATTTGCTGAATTGAAAGCTACCTACATGTTACTTTGTACCTTTAAATCTAATGACTTCTTCAAAATAATTATTTCAACAAGTTAGGAGAACAGTTAAAGTTTAACTATTTAAGAAAATGTATATTTTGTTACTCTTAATGATTGCTTAAAATTGACCTGTGTGATGTAGAAATGTGGGTATTCATTTTTGAGATATCAAAGCTAACAGATATATGCAGAATCACATGTCAGAAATTGACTGGCTCAGGGTTAATCTTGACTGTTATAATACATCTGCTGAAACATTAGTTAGGGCCCTTTTATGTTGTACTTTAGAACTAAAATGTTTAAAAGTATTATTTAAAAGCGCCTAAAATTTCCCCAGAGGAGTTTTCAAAGCAGTTTCTCTAGTGGAAAGTTTATTTGATGAAGTCCCAGGATTTTTAAAATAAGTTGTTGCAGGGTAATGGGTCTGTTGTATTTGGTGGGTGATTGTTGGGCAGTCCGGATGCCAGACCTTAGTCTCAGTTACTTTGAGAAGATTATATTGCTTTCCTATGCTTTATTTTTTACTTCTATAAAAAGGACCTATTCTGTGCCCCTCACTCACTTATGTATGGAATGTAGGTGACTTAAGCTTTAAGCCTTTTTGTAGAAAGGCTCAATGGAAATCAAGCTTATAGCTGTGACAAAAGTTGCTGTTGCTGCTATCTGCAACAATATTATGATCATAATTGAATTTTAGAGTCTGGGAAGAGATGGTAACTTTTTCAAATAAGACAACTTTCTAGGCTATGAATTAGTCATTTATATATTTGAAGGCCCTAGGAGTGGGGATTCTCTCTACTTCCTTAATTCTAGGAAAGAAAAGTTTACAGAGTTAAGTAAAGTGGGTGTAGAGTAACATTTTCTCCCATGTGATGAAAAGCCCTGCGACTTTAGAGCCTTTGGTTTCTCTGAGAATTAAGTTCTCTTTTTCCTTGAGGACCTATGACAAAGGGAAAGTCTGTGGTTCTCTCAGCACATTTACTCCTTCCAAAGAGCTTCTTTATTTGGATGCCAGATAGTGTTTCAATACCCTTTTCATTTTTCTACCAGGGCTATACATTCCTCTAGGTCACCAACTGTGTCTTTTTTTGTAACGCAGGACCTCATGCAGCAACTAGTGCATAATAGCCATTCTATACATTTTTTTAAGTGCACAGTCCTATGTGTGATGAAGTGGGTGTTCTAGAGGAGTAATGAGTAGGAAAAGGCAAGAAATAAATATCACTAAAAGGGAAGTTCTGGTAGGGAATGGCAAGAGGGAAGACAGAAGAAAAGTTTGGAGCATGATTTTAGAAGTCCATGATGGTAGTAAGCATTATACTTTATGTTTTTTATCTCACACACCGAAATTTATAATCATCCTATGGATGGATGGAATCTGTTCGGCAGACTTTGAGAACTAGACAAGTGTTTTTCCAATATGTACTCTTTCTCTTGAATTGCATTCTTGAATGCATGCTGAGGTCTGAACATTTCTGTCAGCAGTTGTGGGTAGAGATTTATTCTACTATGGACTGCTACAGATGGAACCAGAAAGAGCATGTTAATTATATTGGGGGCATATTTTTAACTGAACTATTAAGGATGTGCTCTTAAAGAGCACTCAAATTGTTGATATTGATGAAGAATGGAAAATACCTTTTGGAGGTAAAATTTTAATTCTGACTTAAATTAGGGATTTATTCCTCAAAGGCTCAAATAAGAAACTGGATCTCATATGGAAAAGCTTTCACCCTCTGGAGACCTGAGTTTAATTTCTTGACTTAAATCTTTGTATTCTAATGCTTTTGGCATTTACAAGCTTGGTCCATATCACGGAATCATCAGGCAGTCTGATATTTATGAGGTACATTCCCCAGAGTGATTCCAGACCAAGAGAGTTTTTGTAGTAAAGAGAAGTTTATGAAGCAGAGCAACAAAAAAACTAATGTAGCTATGACCTAATTTGAAGTGAAATTTTGACATGAGTTCATATTCGACGTCTAGATTGCAGATTTCTTAAATGAAAATTGCACCTTCCCTGTACCCGCAATCTGAAGACTAGAGCTCATGAAGACATTTCTTATGTATTTCATCATGTTTTTTTTCTCACTCAGAATATTTTACTTCTGTTACAGTTACTTAGATCCTCATTTCTAAATTTCAGGAATAGCTGAAGAAACTGAATACAGACCACTGGTAGGACACTAATGTTAATGATTTTTTTTTCCAAGTTCAGTTCTCTAATAAAGCTATAGAAGCAATATTTCAAAATGTTTGCAGCACCCCCTGCTGGCTATGTCATGGCACTTCCTAAATAAAGATGGCATCTTTAGATGCTGCTCAATCGTACTGTAGATGTACACACCATTTCTCTTTGGATTCATTTTTATTTAGAAATAATTTCATTTGTATCCAATATATAATAGAGTTAACATTTTAAATGAAAGCAATTTGCTTTATAATTTGCCAGCTGGTATTTGAATGGCACTTATCTTTCCAGGCAGTATAATGTATTTGTTGGAGACAAATTATTTGACATAACCTTTTTACTAGTATTTCATATGAAATTCAGTGGGAGGGGGGAGGCATCACCCAGAATGTCCCTGTTTTATTGTGAATAATGCTAAAATGACCATCATAATTCTTAATCCTGTGTGCATGTTTATTGTATGTTAATACAATCCTCACACTATTTATGAAACTTCAAGAAAAGCAGTTGGAATCTTGAAAGACATCTTCTTAGGAAGGTTGGCAGTGGTAAGGAGTTAAGAATTATAAAAGTCATAAAGGCTGAGATCATGGTTGTTTGGCCCACCAGTTGTTTCAAGTGCGTTAGTGACCCCACTAAGGAGCTTTATATCTGGAAAAAGTATTTACTTAAGGAAAGGATAGTTTTCTGATTAGCGTCATATGAAGTGACAGCCATTGCATCTGAGTTTCTCAAGAACAAAATTCAAAGATGCTGAACTAACTGAGCAAAGATCATTTTCCAGGTGGCAGTTTAAGCTAAGTGACAGAAAACTTAGGGACATTGTCCATAAACATTAAGTAAATTTCAGGTGGGATCCTGCCCTAATTTAAAGATAAATTTATCTTCTTTAAGTAAAAACATGTCTTCTTGTTCTGATTATACCCTTCATTCACTATTTTAACGAAAATTTATTGAGATTACTTACAGTGTCCCATTGTGCTCTATGTTTTCCTCCATTTTCATGCTGTCTTGTGATTGATGGTTTACTTGTTTGCTTCATCCACTGAGTGCTCAATTAATGCTTTTTGGATGAATGGATGGATGAATGGTGGACAGATGAATTTTGAATGCAACAAGATTGAGGGTAGAATCTCAATGAATCATCCATGGCCTTTAATGTCCTTTTGATTTCTGCAATAATTGCTCACTTTTGTGTGTCTCTGTTGTTGGGTGTGTTTCTTTGGCTGACAACACACATGGATTTTTACATACTGTTAACTGATTTTATTTTCTAATAAAAATTATTCATCCAAAGAAAGGTAGTGTTCTGAATCAGTAGAAAGTCTTAATCATAGACTGTTTTAAAATAATTGTAGCTTATTAGTCACACATTTACTATAACACAGTCTCAGAAGCTAATGACTGACTTTTCTAAGTTAAAATCCTTTGGTTCTAAAAGTCTGTGGTCCTTGTACAACAAAATGTATAATCTGTTAGTACACACTAACATTATGCTATTAGTGTGATGATTCATTGCCTGTGTCTGCATGAATAATCAGTGTTGCAGTGCTTGAAAATAATTTATTTTCATAGAGTTTCTCCCTACAACAATGGTAACTTTAGTATTAATTTTCTTACCATTCCTTTACAGCAATGTAAAAGCGATCTAGTGAATTATCACAAAATCAGTGTTAGCATAGACCCTAATTAAGAGTCTATGGTTCTTAACATATTGTACTCTGGAGTTTAAGTTTAGCTTGTCATAAAGATAGTCACTATAAGGTATATTTTAGAGTAACTGAAAGTAATCTTACCTCTACCTTCTACCTATTATTTAGAAGTAAATTTTTAGAATCTATTTAGACCTGTTGAAATGACAATAGAAGTTATGAACTAGCTGATTTTGGCATATGCCTTGATTTAGCAAATGAGGAAACTTGGGTCCAGAGAGATTAGGCAAAACTTTCCAAAGTTCTGGTGCCTGAGCTACATTTCCTGATTAACTATCCAGAGTTTTTCCACATTGCTTCCCATGTAGAGAATAGAGAATATAATTATCTTATCAAATGGCCAGGAAGGGTGTTTTGCTGAATTAATTAGCTTGTAGTGTCTCTGAACTTATGTGTAACATTTTCACATTTCTCTTTGTTGCAGAATGCAAAGTATGGCGAAATCCACTAAATTTATTTAGGGGCGCTGAATATAATCGGTAAGCATTTTGACAGCTTGGGAAACAAATGGGTCTAGTTCAGAGAGCAAAGACAGCAGCAAATGTTTTTGCAGGTTCATTTAGGGGTCATTGTAGCAGTCTGTTTTGTGCTTCCATTTTTTGATGTTACCCTCAAATGTTTTGATTTTTCTGTTGAAAAATATTTTAGCATTGGAATTGGGGTAACATACAAAAATGTGTTGTTTTTAGAGATTTTCCATTGAAGTTACTCTTTTCATTATATATTATACAGCCAAAATATTTTGAAGCTTACCTGGAACATGGTTATAAAGATGCCACAGAAGTAATGTTGGAATTTAATTTTGTAGAATAATTAGTCAAGTCAGAATATTCATAGCTGTTGGGAAATCTCTTTTTATAATGCTAATTAGGGAAGGTTTTCATTTGCTAGTGCTACTAAAATTTTAAGACAAAAATATAGCAGAAATTTTTACTCCTTTTCTGCTGATATACTTCCTAAAGGGAGAATAGGATTTTTTTTTAATTAACAAAGCTGTTTTAGTACTACTCAGTTAATTGTTTATAGTTCAACACCTTTGTAGCTTAATATTTTGTAGGTCTTGCTTTCCTCTTTCAAAAGTGTCTGACCATCTTATTTCCCTTTTACAGGTACACTTGGGTGACAGGACGAGAGCCTCTGACTTACTATGACATGAATCTCTCTGCCCAGGACCACCAGACATTCTTTACTTGTGACTCGGACCATCTGCGTCCCGCAGATGCAAGTATGGAAAATCCTTTAGCGAGTTAATGATTGGGAGGGATTTTTGGTTTATTTTAAAGATCAAGGTTACTACTTTTTTTCAAAAACCCCAATAAATAAAATTTTAAATTAGAGATTGACTAATAGGACCCAGAATTCTGATACTTAAATAAGGCTTTATCACAATGAAGTATTAATGTATTAATATAATGTATCTCCTCATTATAGTTTAAAATGTTACTTAAGAAATATTTCAAAGTGATTTACTTACTTAAAAGAAATATAAATCTTACATGAAACTAACTAAATCCTTGGTTGAGATAGAATGAAAGGTCATGTCTCCTTGATGGTATTCTGGTTAGAAATTGGGATTCAGTGAATCTAAATGATTAATGAATATATTATAGTGATTAATATGCCTATTTGTAGGCTCACTAGCTGTGAATGGGAGCATGGCCTTGGTTATTGGAATCCAGACTTGTTTTTCATCCTAGAAGAGACTGTGTTTAGCGGGCATTTCACACTACTTGAGTTCCAAATAATCCTACTGATATTTTTTTATATTACCAAACTTAAATAGGTGGAAAAAAAACTTAAAAAAAAGAATATGTATATGCTCCTAAGAAACTAACTTACAAGATACACATTTATAAAACAAATACGGAGACTGTTACCCTTTTTCAAAAGGTACTCTTTGCCATGGTGGATACATAGTATATATAATAAATAGGCCAAGCATTGAGCTTCCCATAATATATTTATAAAACTGCTTTGGTATATAAAAACTGAGTTTGCAGCAAACTTTGGGAAGAGGTACACATGTTAACCAAGAGCCTAAAGCACTTTTATTCTGATCCAAGTCATAATTCTTCAAATGGTTTTAAAATGTTCTAATATCCAGAGTCTGTAACAGGAGGTGTTTGGGGAAATGACCAATAAAAATTGTGTTGTATCTAAACAGAAGTAAGAAATTAATAGCAATGTCCTACCAGAATGTGTAAAATAATGTGTTCTCTAACAACAGATGATATCAATGAGCAAAAGAAATATTAAATCTCTGTTAGAATGCCTTTTCTTTTCTTGATTAAGCAATCTTAAGATTAAGTCTCTATGATTATAGACTGTGGGTTAGTCTGTAAGATGTTAGATCTGTAGTTATGAGAAAGATTTGATATCAACAATTGAAAGACAGTGGAATAGCAAATGGGAATGTATTTGTGTGACTTTGGAGATTTGGGCTGACTCTCTTAGTAAGTGGAATATTCTCTTGTAATTCAAGCTGAAAGCTATTAATTTAGCTATTGTCCTGTACTGAGTCTTTCTAATTATTTATTGACCTGCTTTTTGCTCTTTTTCTGAAATAGTAATGCAGAAAGCCTGGAGAGAGAGAAACCCCCAAGCTAGGATTTCTGCAGCTCATGAAGCCTTAGAGATAAATGAGTAAGTGGGGGAAAATCTTGCTTTACTGAATGTATTCAGGGAATATTTACATTAAATTGTGCGTTTGAACTTGAGGATTATTCTGGGGGGGGATTAATTTATTAAAAAAATTTTTTTTAGTAAGGACATCCATGTGGAGGTAGTTTTAGTCATTTTACAGAACAATTTAGTGACTTTGCTGTGACTCTAAATTAAATCCTTCAAGGACTAGTCATGGAATATTGTGAGGACATAAATTAAATACAGTGCTTTACATATCTAAAACATTGTGACAGGGAAAATTTTTCAGATGTAGAATGCTCATCTGTGCCATCACATTTTCTTGGTAGAACTTCTGCTAGTAGGGAAAACATAATAAAAACATAAGGTAAAGAATTTACACTTAAAAAATATTTCCAGATCAGGACAAAGATAAGAGGAAATGCTGTCCTCAGTGTTGTTAAATGCTCTGTGGGTCACCAAGAAAGGCTGGGAAGTCTTGTCTGGAGCTCTCAGAAAATGAGAAAGATTTTTAAAGTTGGAGTCATAAAAGCTCAGGGTTGGCAGAGACCGTAAAGGTCATGTAGCTCAAACACTCGTCTGGTGCTTGAATCACCTCAACACTCTCCCTGCCAAGTGGTCATTGTTAAACTATTTTATGATTTTTCTGAAGGTTACAGAAACTTCTTCAAAGGTCTTAGTAAAAAGGTTTACTTGAAAGCTGGAAATCCTGCCAATGTAACCTGTTGATCTAATTTGGTTTCTGATTCTGTCATGCAATGTATTTATTTTCCAGTTTATTATCATTTACAAATTTGATATGTGTGCCTTCTGGGTGTCACCCATGTTTCTGATAAAAGTATTAGGATCAGGGACCAAACCCTGTGACATGACATATAGAAATCACCCTCCAGGTTCATATCTTCATGAATCATCATCCTTTGGTATTTATTGTTCAACCAGTTACTAAGCCACCCAATTACACTGTGATTCAGCCCATATTTCTACATTTTGATCTCAAAAATGTCAGTTGTAGCTATGGATCTTTAACGTATAGTAACTCCATCAGAGTACGTTAAGCTAGCACAACCTGATTTATTTATTCTTGGTAAATTTAAACTGGCTTCCAGTATTCACTAGTTTCTTCCTAAAATGCTTAAAAATTATCCCTTTAATAATCCCTTAGAATATCTTTCCAAATCACTGTTCAGTAGTTTGGGAAGTCTGCCTTCTTCCCCTTTTTGAACGTTTTTACTACATTGTCATCTCATCTTCTAGTACTTCTCCATTCTTTGTGATTCTTAACTATCCACAGAGAGCAATTCTGAGGTCTGCCTACAAGGTCTGTTGGCTTCCTGGGATTTGCCTTCCCAGTACAGTAATTCATTTAGAATAGATAAGTTGTTTGCCGTCTTCCATCTTTTTACCCATTTTAGAATTAAAAGTTTCCATTATAGGAAATTTCTTCTCCCTTTGTCGGTCTGACAGTCATTTTCCCTGATGGAGAAACCAGGAACAAAATAAGAGTTGGAGATTTGCTTTCTCTTTATTATCTTCAGCTGCTGACTATAAACTTTCCTCATTTTGATGTTGTTGTTGTGTTGTCTTTTTTTGCTTATTTATTTTTGTTATGGTTTTGGAGAAATGGGGGCGGTGATAGGGCCGTAAATAATAATTTTAAAATGAGGGATAGTCTTTAGCATGTTTTGATTTGTCTTTATTTTGTTTTGCCAGCTTCAGCTAATTTGGAGTTGTAGCTCTCCTGGCATTGTTCTTATAAGCTCATTTCACTCTCTTATAGTCCTTCATTACATGTCCTCTTTCCATCTTTTTTTACATGTCCTTTTTAAAATATGACCTTGTGAGAGATCTCCGTGCAGCCAGAGTGGCTACTTGCCACCGGTCTTTTCTTCCTGAGTGGATCATTTGTGACTGTGGTTATGATTAGACATTTGGAAGCTGCCCAGCCCTCTTAAACCATTTTTCCTTCTGAGTCTCATGCCATTGAATCATGCCTCTCTCTTTTCTTTGAATTTTTTGAAGTCCACCTTACTCTCTTTGATTGCCCTGAACTCCAGAATGACATAGTAACTCTCTCTGTATGCTCCTATCAATTTTCATTTCACCAACTATTTTTTTCTTCTTGGTCAGAATTAGGTCCAGAGTTGAAGTTCCCTTAATTGCTTCCTCTACCATCTGGGAGATAAAATTGTTACCAAAGTAAGTCAAGAACCTGTCGGGTGCCCTCCTTCTAACCAAATGAGACTTCTAGCAGATAGCTGGATGGTTGACACCCCCATCACCATACCTTCTTGCTTCTGTCTGTGTGTTGTGTTGTGACAAGGATGCATCATCTGTATCTTCCATTGAGCTGAGCAGTCTGTTCTGTATTCCCCAACCATCAGCACTTCTACTGCTCTTTCCTTTCTCCTTCACTCATAAGCTCTTAGCATGTTTCTACCCCAGACTCATGAGTTTCCACATAGATGTATGTTTTCTTGGCTAGTAGTGCTACTCTGCCTCTCCTCCTAAGAATACTATTTGCAATACAAACACACAAAGCAAGCAAGCTAGCCCCAACCTGTCTTGAACTCCCAGCCCACCAACTGTTATCTCATAGCGAATTCCTCTGATACTGTGTCCACCTCTCAGTATTATAATCTCGATTTTCACTTCATTCCCCTGGACCCGTATTTATGTGTCGGCATCTGAAGCCTTAAGTATTGCTTCCCGATGCCCAACCCACCTGTTTTCCTCAGTGAATCACAGGGCAGTTTTGGCATCATTATTATTCTTTCCAAGTCATATCTGCTGCCGTCCATAGTAATTGGTTTTATGGCTTTTTTTTCTGGGCATTTTTTTCCCTGCCTCACCACTTTCAGTGTGAAGCCTTATCGAGCAGCCCTGCCTGAAATTGGAGGGATCAGCTAAAGAATTTACAAGACCCCTCCTCAAGGCTAAGATTAACTTGTAACCCCAAACCTCAGATTAGCCTCCAAGTCCAGCCTCCTTTTCCTAGCCACCTGTTGTAGTTTATGCATAGTAAGAGTAACATTTGGTTTCACTTTCTGTTTATTTTTTCTCTTGTGGTCTGATGGAGGCTCTGTTAAGCAGGGAAATGACCACAAGAGAGACAGTGGAGAAAGAAAGCCGAGGGATCTGTACAGATAGGACCTGTGTGGTCTACTCTGGCCTCAGTATTTCCTTATTACATTCCCTTTCTTTGGCAGTTGTGTTGTTCTTCTCTGATTTGGAAGGTTTAAATTTCCAGGAGTTGCCCTTGTTTGTTAGTTGACTGTTTATCCTTTCTGGCTTCCTACCTTAGAAGTTGTTGAAAGGATTAAATGAGATGATATATGTTAAGTGCCTGGTACAGTGCTTAATATATACTAAGCAACTGGTGGTATCTATTACTGTTAAAGGTGTGGGATTTAAGTTTGGTTTGCTACTGAGGCTGAATCAAATTTTGATCTCTTCAGAAATTACTCTCCCTATAGGCTCTTCAAGTGCTTGTCTCTGACATAGAAAACCAGTGCTGTATGTAATGAGATGTTGAAGCACTGCTTTTTAAGTGAATAACTTACTTGATCTAATGAATTTCTCATTCTGAAGAAATCCTCAAAGAAATCTGTGCTTAGTAAATAGAAGTAAGCTTTATGGCATCTCTAACTCTGAGGGTCAGAAGGCGATATTTAATAACAGCTATTATCACTGCCATCATTAGTCGACATTTACTAAGCATGTACCACATGCTGGCTGCTACTGTACTGAGCACTTTTCATGCATCACCTTACTTAACCTTCACAACAACACTGTGAACAAACAGATTTCATGTTGTTCTCCATCAGGGAGGCAGAGTAATAACTTGCCCAAAGGGACACACTAATAAGGGGCGGAGTCCGTACGTGAGCCCCATGCTCCTAACACTACTCATCCTTCCTCTCAAGCTAAAATACAGACGTTTCTTTCGTACCATTGTTTTGTGTCAACGACTACAAGCAGGAGTGCATGAACCAGTTGGCCACTCTGCATGTTTTGACGTAACTCCTGCCCCTCTGCATGCGCTCCTACAGCTGTTACCATGTCCTTGGATTTGTCATTGATGGTGGCTGTTATCTGAATGGACAGGTGTGCAACTGCCTATATTCTCCTGGCTGAAGAGGAAGCAACAACCATTGCTGAAGCAGAAAAGCTGTTTAAGCAGGCCCTGAAAGCTGGAGACGGCTGTTACCGGCGTTCTCAGCAGCTACAGCATCATGGATCCCAGTATGAAGCCCAACATAGTAAGGTTTCCTCCTGGATGACATGTTGGGGGGCCAGAATTACAATATAATTAATCAGAGAAAATTCTCAGGCCAGTTCAAAATATGATTCTTCTGGATTAGAATAAATATTGATTTTGCCTTTCTTTGTTTTTATCAATTTTCCTTCCCATAAGAGCACAGTACATAGTTAACTTATAGTTTCATTACAATTCACCTTTTCTTTCCTGCCCATAGATTCTTAACTCCAGAAATTTATGGTAACAACTTCTAATGGTAACTCTTTTTCTCCTCAGAATTCTTACGTATTTCTGTTTATCAGTTGCTTCTCTGCCCTATAACTTTAAGTCCTAATTGGGAAACAGAACTTAAGTTTGTGTTAATGCTGTCAAGGGTTTTATCTCATGGGTCTTCTGTAGCATGGGTTGAAATGGGACAGCTAGGAATACCACAGTTACTGGTGATTGTCTCCGTGTTTAGCTCTTATTTAGGAAGCACTGGCATTGGCTTCCAGAGAGAAAGAGTCATGAATTCCTAATGATTTATTTTTTGTGTTTAAAACAATAGCTTCTTTTATTTAACAGAACTCTTTAAAATGAGACCTTTCACTTTAGTACGTTAAACTGAGAGTTTGGGGGTAATGGTATAAAAACAAGACAACAAAGCCGTTTCTGGAATTCCCTGAGCTCCTTGGCTTGTCAGTTTGTTGGCTGTGGAAGCAGAAGTTTAGTGGCCCTTGTGAGAGGGACTGTTTTCATTGTCTAACCAAACTTTGGGTTGTTTCCTTAAAGTGGGATTTCTCTCAACTTATTTCTCTCTCCTGCATTTTGGAGAGTATCTTGAAGAGTGTATCTCCTTCATATTTGAGACTGTAAAATTACGTTTTAGTGTTAAACCTGGATTTGGTGCAGAAACTGAGTGCATGAGTCCCTCTGACTAAGGTACAGTGAGATCTTTGCATTTTGGCCTGTGTATATGAGTCTGAACACACAACCCACCAATACACAGGTTTTTATTTTTATTCTGTAGTAGTATATACGTTAATCACCATCTGTATCTTGCTTTTAAAAAAAATTGTGTATACTGTGATAAATTTTGAAGGCATATATAGTGAAAGTCTGTTTTGTGAACTAAATGAGAATTAATACATAAAATTACATAATCTATTATATAATTTCAGAAATTTTATTTCTTTTATTCTGTAAATTAAATCCTTTCAACCTGTTGCCTAAATCTATCCAAAAAATATAATCACATCTTTAAAATAATTGGTAGGTACTTGGCAAATTTTCAGCACACATCTTGTTCTCATTGTTTAAAACTTGAAATATTAGGACTTTGGTCTTAACATCTTTTAATAGCTGCATATTATATGTATACTTAATCTATAACAGGTGTGTCATGTTTTTCTAAAACATGGTAATTTTATAGAAGATTAAGCACATGCATGTTCTCACTGGTCTGGAAACATATCCAAAAAGACACATAATTAAATAAAAGATTAAGATGAGAAGTTGCTAATGTTCTTTTTAAGAGCTGTAGTGACTGTTGTTACAACTATTTAGCTTGTCAGTGCTTTCTCTAACACCAGGGTAGTTTTTCATTTTGTTGCATAGTCTATTGTCATATCTGGAATGTGTTATGTTGCCATCCAAAATCGACTGCTTTGGGGACCTGGAGATGATTATGATGTCACCAGTGTTAGGGAAGGAATAATATAAAACAGAAGTTCAAGATGAGGCTTCTCCAGACTTAATGTCAAGAAGGAAAAAAAATAGTTCATCAGGATGCAACCAGAGATTCACTTCTTTGCATCTTCACCAAAGCATGCACACTAGAAGAATGAGGAATTCTTGCTTGTAAGCCACGTGCAATGTAGGTATGTTCACTTTCCCAGCACTTTGTGGCAGATGATTTTATTTATTGAATATTCAGCATCATAACTCAAAGCATGGATTAATAATCAGTCACATGATTTGACCTTTGGAAGTATAAAACTTTGACTTTACTCTGTATGAGTTCTGCTATTAGCAAAGTTGTCAGTGCTCCTGGCAGTAAGGAATAGTCAAATGAGCAGATGGTTCTCTCCGAGGTTTTCCTTTAAGGGCATGGAAAATGCACCCCTGTATTTTTCCTTGCTGCTCAGCTGAAAGCTCTTGTTTTTTTAAGTTTTGGTGTTTTATGTCTCTCTCTTCAGGACGAGACACCAATGTCTTGGTCTACATCAAAAGAAGGCTTGCAATGTGTGCCAGAAGACTCGGGAGGACCAGGGAAGCAGTGAAAATGATGAGAGATGTGAGTTTGAATTTGTGTTTGGGAACAGTGGCAATGCACCTGACTTAGAGAAGGAGGATCCCATGGAACGGCCATAGCAGACAGTACCAGCGATGGTGTGATGGTCCCATGGGGGATGGGTTCTGCTCTAGCTCCCAACTTAGTAGATGAGTGATCTCGGACAAGTCACCCAACTTCTTTGGGGGATAACAATAACTTTACCAATAATAATGATTACTACTTAGGATTGTTGAGAAGATTAAATGCAATAATAGATGCAAAGCTTTTAATACAGTGACTGGCCTATTAAATCTCAGTAGATATTCTTATTAGTAAACCTTTGGGGCTGTAGCCAGAAGCCAAGAATGAGATCAGCCATTTTAGCTAACTGACTTTTTTCATGCTTAGTTGTTAGGAAAATTTGAATAAACTATGGGTCAAATTGCTACCCTCAGACTTAATAATATTATGATCTAATCATATTGTAGTCATTTCAAGCATTTTCCTAGATTCTTGAATCAGGATATTTTATTAGTAATAGTCAACATAAGAAGAGAGAAAATAGGTGAGAGTTTTAAAACAAAAGAGAACCAAAGGGAGTTATTATTATGTAACTTTAAATAAAAACAGTGGTTTTAAGGGAAACTGGTTGAGGAATTTCTACTTCCACTTTTTTTTTTAGTAAGAAATACTTTTCACAAAGAAATGGCCACCAGTGGGAATTGTATTTATAAACCATTTTCTTTTTAAAAACGATCTCAGGAAACCTTTGTCAACATTTAATTCTTTTATGTTTTCCTGAATTAGGAGACATAGGTAACTGTGCTTTATAAAAAGGAGAGAACCAAGGGGTAAGATGAAAGTGGCATCATGCCCAATTCTCAGCTTTTGGGTTTGAGAACAGGACTGTGTAAACCTAGGGAGCCTTCCCTCACTTTGTCTCTGGAAGGGCAGTTATTCTTGTAAATTCCCAGTTACTCTTTGGCGGTGGGGGCCTGTACTCTGGGCTCACCCCTGCAAGTTATAGCATCATGTGAAGACCAAGTGAGGCTCATGCTTCTGGCTTGGGTTCGTGCTACTCCATTAAACAGCAGTGCAGCCACCAGACCTGAGGAGAGGAACAGAGGAGGCAGATTCCAAGATAATTCTAATTTGACTGCAGATGATAGATGCTCCTCAGGCAAAGCCACTGCAAAGGAGATCTCCCAGGATAAAATTCTTTTGGTTGAAGGAAGAATTTAAAGAATGTTATACAGTATAAGTGCTAAATTTTAGAAAAGAAGATTTCTTTAAAAAAGTGACTTGCTCTCAAAGCTTTCTAACTTGCAGAAATTCCATCCCTTGATATAGTGAAGAAACTACCAGCCCCTGAAAGAGCTGAGAATTTTATGAAGGATGGAGTATTTTTCTATCTTGAAGTGGCCCAGCCACATTAAACTGGCCCAGCCATAGTCAGCCTTTAACAAGGTGTTTTATATTTATTCTTTTCTTAATTAGCTTGGGATAGACATGCGTGGAGGAACAGAGTTTTGGTGATTTTCTTTATTATAGGCTTAAGCAACTTAGGAAAAACAAACTCAGCTGATTTTAATTCCAGTTTTTTTCCATCAGTCTCATTCTGATTGTCATCATTTTTAGTATATACATATAAAATTTCACATGATTAAAACCAATACTATGGTTTGATTTTTGTTTAACATTATTTTATATTTACAATTCCATTTATTGACTTAGTCCACAAATACCTTGGGGGGAATCTGGGATCCAGTGGGATAAATGCTGGGCACGGAGTAAGGAAACCTGCATGTGAATCTCACTAGCTTTGTGACTCAGGGCAACTTCCTTCCCTTTCATGGGTTTCTCATTTGTCTTCTGTAAGTTGAGAATAATGATTCTTTTCAAAAAGAGTAGTTGAGAGAGTGATGGGGAGGATGAAATGAGATAATGTGAAAATACCTGGCATATGGTAGAGACTTTTTCCCCCTGTGTTTTCTCCATTATATAACTATGTTTTAATTTGCTGGACCATTCCCCCTACGGGCATTTAGGAATATTTCTGATTTCTTTTTCTTGAATGAATCAATCAGTCAAGCAGTCTCTCTGTCTTCATATGTGTATACACACACATACAGCATATGTGTGTATCTCTACTTATATGTGTATGTTTCTTGGGTTAATTTTCTTTAAAAAGCTGTCGTATTATTATCAGAACACCCATACGTGTTGCGTTTTGACTGGGTTTATGGAGCATCTAGTAGATGTGTGCCCTACTGTTGTAACAGTCCTGTGAGGGATGCTGTCAGATACGGTGGAGATGTGTTTTAAAGAGAAATCGCCAAAGTGCTGTTCCCTGCAGAAACTCCTGGAACCCTGAAGGAAGGAGGGGAGGTTGAGGCTCCCTCTCTGTTAAAGCTGCAGCTGGTCCCAGCCTTGCAGGAGACAGTTGGTCGGGCCTGACTCCTCTCAGGTCACAGGTTATGCATAAATGAGGACTTCACTGCGGGGTTCACTCCTTTAACAACAGGCACATAAACCATCTTGCTGGAAAGCTTCCTCTGATAAAACAGCAAACTGGATTCCAGGCAGCCTGCTGATAAAGCCTTAGGGCAGGAGGATCTAATTTTTCATTAAGACACAGCCATCCTACCCCATATGTATTGGTTGAAATTTTCCTAGAGCAGATTTTAAAGTGAAAATAGGAATTCTGGAGTCAACTGCCTTCCATATGAAAATTAGACTCTCTAAAACATTTCTTTGGAAATCTGTTAAGGAAGGGAAAACTGTTAATTGGTGAGATATCCTAAAAGAGAATGAATGGGAATTCTGGGAAGGCAAACTGTCAATAGTTATGGATCAAAATATTAAGCGAAATATTGATGAGGTAAGAACATATATGCTTCTTATTGTCAAGATTTATGGCCTCTCTTTTTTAAAGCAACACATTAATTATTTTGAATTCTTAGGATATTTTCTCAAAAGAAAATACTCACTTGAATTAGCTTCCTTTTGCAATCAAGAATATGCAAGCACTTTACTGAAGCAATGTTTTGGCAGCAAGTGGAGCTAAGAGAGCATGATGACTTTTGAACTTCACTATAAGGTGTTATTTTTCATTCAAAATGAGAAAAGTTGCATTTTTTGCTTCTTAAATTCAAAGAAAAGCCAATTGCTTATTCTCATTTTGGAGAATTTTGCCTCTTTAACATTTGATATATGACACCGCAATTTAGTTTCTCTTTTTAACTTTTACCATTTAGCTAACCTCAAGTTTACCCTTTTTCCCTGACCCTATTTGACTAGATTGGGAATGTAATCCATAAGGCTGACTGGTCCTGCCCCTTAGCCATACCCAGTCAGAATTGGTATAGGTGGGATTGTGTGCCCAGGTGAAAGAACATGAAATCTCTTGCGCCAGGTCATTTGGTCTAGGTTAGGTTTTCCCAGTCTTGGCACTATAGGTCTTTGCTGTGGGTGTCCTAGGCATTGTAAGATGTTTAACAACATCCCTGGCCTCCGCCCAGTAGATGCAGTAGGAGCCCACCCCCTTGTTGATCCCCAGTGTGACAACGAAAAATGTCTCTAGACACTTGTCTCCTGTGGGGGAGATGTGCAAAATCAATCCCCATGAAGAACCACAGATCTGGAGGATCCAACAGTGAGTAGATCTGTTTCAGGGCAGACATCAGGTTTCTATTCGCTCTGCTTGTTAGTAGTCTGAGTCTCCCCTGTGGTGGGTGCACGCCTCTAAAGCATCCCTGGAGCTGATCAGTTCCTACTAGAACCCTTGGCCTGGAACCGGGCTGATCTGGGGAGTTGTTTTGTCCTAGGTTGGATTCCCTGAAGAGGTATCTGGTATGAGGAGTAAATGAATTTAAAAGATTTCGGTGGGATGCTGGTTGGAGGGAATAGACAGAGAGGGGCAAATGTAAAGGCCTGATGTGGGGTAGTGGTCTTCCTTGGTCCTTGGTGCGTGCTTCCAGACCATTGTCTGCATCTCCTTTCCCCACATCTACAGCCCCTTTGAAAACTGGCCATATGCTGTCAGACTTCACCGCTTGTTACCACTGCAGCCCTCTGGGTCATCCTCCCTGATTCTTGTTTCACTCTCTCTGCGGCACTGCCTCTGTCACTATCCCAGCCTCTCATTTGACACAGGTCATCACAACCTTCTTGAAACATTTTATTTATTAGAAACCATGCTCTCTTAGTTCTCCTAAAATCTCTGTCTTCCTGGCTAGATTCTCCTCATCTTCCTAACTTCCCAAATTTGACATGTCCCCTGGACAGTCCTAAGCCTTCTTTTCTACTTCCATCTATAACTCTGGATGACTACATTCATATTCAACGTTTTAAATACGATCTAAATGCTGATGAACATCTCCTTAGTGTTTATTGTGTTCTAGGTGTCATTTTAAGTGTTTTACAAATATAAATCATTTAATTCTCATGATAGCCTTTGATATAGGTGCTTGTTTAAGGTTACATAGCTAATGAGTATTTCTGAGAATGTGATCTTTCAATCACCTGCACTAGAAATATCCAGGGTGCTAGTTGAGTACCTGCTTCACAGGATTGGTGTAGGAATTAAAAGGAATAATCCATGTGAAGCACTTTGGTTTTGCAGGACTTCATGAATAATAAGTACTCTGTTAGTGTTGCTATTCTTACCATTATTGTGTAAGATACATTGTTATGTGAAAAGGGAAAGTATAAATATTAGGTATAGTCTGACTCCATTTTTTCAGTGAAAAATAGATGCTAATTTCAACCAGTTATTCTCAAACTTTTTGGTCTCAGAAACCCTTTAAAATTACTAAGAACCCCAAAACTTTTGTTCATGTAGGTTTATCTATTGATATTTACCATTTTTGAAACTAAAACTTAATTACATCCACAAAGATCCTATTTCCAAATAAGGTCACTTTCATAGGATTAGGACTTCAGTATATATTTTTTGGAAGACACAATCTAACCTACAACACCAAGTTATATATAAACGCAAAATATAGAAACTCTATAAA